CAGCAGGTCTTCAGCGATCCTTCAGAAATCAGTCTAATTTTCTTATTTGGAGATTCAGAAACATGTTGAAAATGCTGTGCTGCTTAATATTTTTGTGGAAACCTTAATTCAGGATTACGTGATGAATAGAAAGTTCAAAAGAACAGCATTTCTTTGAAAATAGAAATCTTTTGTAACATTATAAATGTTTAATGTTCACTTCTGATCAATTTAAGGCATGCTTGCTGAATAAAAGAATTAAGTTGTAAAAAAACAAAAAATTTTAACGGCAGTGTACAGTACATGTACACAAATGCATCCAGTCAACAGGGCAGGAAAATTTGCTAAATGCTTATACTCAAATTAAACCAGATGAAAATGTCATTCATTAATCCCGTGTAGTTCCATTTCTTGTCCTTCAGTTGCTTTACCCTCTACTTGCATCCTTCTGCCTGCCCTTTGCCTTTGGCAGGGCCATACGCATTGAGATGTATGTGGTTTGGCGAATGATGACAGAAGAAGCTGGTTTATTTTTCTGTATTTCTTCTATTACTGATGTCAGTATTGCCATTTTGAGAAGGCACAGCTGTGGCTCATTAAAGGAAGCTTGGGTAAGCGGTAAGAAGTCCATTACATCACACGGCAGCAGTACTACACACCTTTAATTTCACTTCATCCTATTGTAAGAGCCTCGCCATACATGCAGAAAAGCTTCTCATGCTGGCTCCAAGAGTTCTTACAAGAGCTTCAGTCTGCCATGTGGTTCTCATTCCTTTGTCTTGCAAGTTTATAGGCTCTCCACCTTAAAGGAAATGTCCCTGCTCGTCTACAGGCGATGAAAGCTCTGGGAACACACTCTTGCATTGTACACTCAGTCCACTTAGATTAATTGTCCATGGCTATTTTTAAACATGTCTTTGGGGGATTTGTGATTTGTATGCTGTAATGCTCATTTTTAACTTCCTGTGTACGTTTGCTGACCAAAAATGGGCACAAAAAGAAAAGAAAGTGAGATACATCAGTCATTCAGTCTCATTCAGTAAATGACGAGTCATGCGACTCATTATTCAGTAGCAGAAACATCAGCTCAGCAAATACAGCACTGGGTCACACTGGTGGGAGTGAATGCTTTTGTATATCATACTGTACAGACCACAGGGGCTGCCATACGAATAAGTTGACAAAGTGTTACCAATTACAGTGGAATGATCCGTTAATTCTGTCCTTTAGCACATGCAAAGTCTAATTTATTCAGTAAATTACTTCCTCTGTTGGGGAAGAGAGACTATTTTAATGCCACATCCTTCCTTCTTGTTTCCACCAAACAACAGCCACTACAGACAATGAAAATCACAACATTCCAAAAGAAAGATCCAAAAAGTCCTACACTTAAGGCAATATACAATACCTTTCAAAAGTTTTTTCAGCAAGGACACATTAAATTGATCAAAAGTGACTTTGATATTGTTACAAAAAACCTATTTCAAATCAATGGCCTTTTAAACTTTCTATTCATCAAAGAGTTCTGAAAAAAATTGTATCATGGTTTACACAAAATATTATGCAACACAACTGTTTTCAACATTGATAAGAAGAAATGTTAGTTCAGCACCAAATCAGCATATTAGAATGGTTTCTGAAGGATCATGTGACACTGAAGACTGGAGCAGGTGAACGGACCGAGGGGGACGACCATACCCCCCTGGACTGGAGTAATGGCTGCTGAAAATACAGCTATGCCATCACAAGAATAAATTGCATTTTAAATAGAAAAAGTTATTTTAAATTGTAATAATATTACACTATATTACTGGTTTTACTGTGTTGGTCAATAAAATGCAGCAGAAGAGGCATTTAAAAAAAACAACAACTTTTGAACAGTAACCAGACATGTGAAAATGATCTGTCCTTCATGCATAATGGTCTTTAGAAAAACCTGTGCCTGTCGTCCCAACCAAAATACAGCTTGACCACAGGATGCCTGGGCAGCAATTTCATGGAAGGTTTTGTTTACTATTCTGGATCATCACAATTCCACTTCCAGTCTCTTTATGTGGTCTGACTGAACTGGAAGCAGCTTTCTCCCTATACAAACAAAAGGGTGAGAAAAATGCTGAAACTGAAGTCATCTACTATAAAGTAAGCACTACAGTCACCATCCAGCCCACAGGTGAATATGAGATCTGAAAGAAAGAGCTCAGACTCAGCAGTGAAAATCTCCCTTTCTGCAACTTCCACTCCTTCACTATGTTTACCCATATGCAATAATGTTGCAGGGTGGAAGGGTGAATTCAGACACTTGATTTACATCCAAAAATGAAATGTTTTCTTAAACTAAGGTGGGCAAAAATTTCCCAAACTTTTTTTAAACACTGCACCACTAGCAGCACCATATGAGAGAGCTGTTTGGCAAAGTTCATACAAATTAAGTAAATTCCTTGCTAATTCCTAGACATATCCTAGCCCCAAACTTACACAACTGCTTGAGCCAGAAGTTGACATGTTGGACAGCTCAAACAAACAGAGTAATATTAAAAGCACTACAGAACTAGTGGTCGACCGATATATATTTTTTTGACAGCCGATGCCAATATCTTAAGAGAGCAGGGTGACCGATGCCCGATAAAAAGTCAATATACAGTGTATATTTTAAAGTCAACATTTATGTGATGAAAGTCGAGTCGAGTGGAACTTTGAGCTGAGACTCAAACACCTTGTGCACAGCTATGGCATATCATATGACACAGCGCTGCCCACTTTTTTGCCCACTGCTCATTTTTATCAGTTCTTTTGTCTTTGGGTCGTTATATTTCTCACAGGTTTCTGCTCGGTCTAAATCAGATACAGATAAAGTAGCACAGTAAAGATTACATTTATATGAATGCATTAGTGAGAGAGTGATTGCGTGTGTGAATTAATTCTACCTGGCAGCGTCTCTCTACTAATAGTGAAGCTGTGGGTTTTAGTTACTAATAAATATATGCTAGAACTTTTCAGTTTCTAAGATATTTTATTTAGAAATCACAGAACAGTGTTGACAATACATTTCCACACTACTGAATCATTTTATTTAGAATAAAGCCAAGGTAACACTCATTTTACATACAGCACACAGTGAAAATGACATGAATATGACTGGGAAAATGGATAAAGCACAGCATAGTTTGAAATAAGTTTAAATTTTGTCGATTGTGCGTCTCAGTGAAGCTGAACTCTCCTCCAGTCCAACGCGATCATTTCTAGGATCAAAATGCTGCATTGCACAAGATCTTACAGCTGGATTCGAGCAAAGTTTGTGAAATTAATGTTTATTAGACATTCAAAGATTTGCTGAAATTATATAAATGCGTATTTGCTGAATGCTGACGGTAAACGAGAAAGTATTATAATGTTTGCTTTTCCATTACTAATAATATCAAAGCTATCGTTATAATACTTTTTTGTATACCTTTTAATTCCTTAGTTTAACAGTTCTATCTGATTATTAGACAGACTTTTATCTGTATTGGACAGATCTGTTAAATAGCGACAGCAAACAATGAAGAGGAAGAATGTGAGCGCTGTGTGTTCACGAGCTGCCATTCTCAGAGCCATCAAAATAAAAATCTCGAACATATCGGGCAAACAGAAAAACATATCGGCCAATGCCGATATTTAAAAAATGCCAAATATCGGCTGATATATCAGCCTTGGCGATATATCGGTCAACCACTATACCAATCCAGAGTCTTCACTTGACACTCAATTTAACTCATAATGTCTCATGTGGGTCTCCAATCAAGAAAATTGTTTCTTGACTCATTGGCTCATGTTTTGGTTAAGGCGAGTCAGACTTTAGCTCTCTGATCGCCGTCTCCATCAGGAAGAACCCCCCGCAATATTACACCAATCGCAAATGACTATTCAGTGGAGTTTCCTCCCATTTACAGTAGCAGATGGTCCCTCTAAGGGCCTTACAAGAGCATTTCCTGTGCTCAAGCAGGAAGCACAGGTTACAAAAGCACTTGTGCTTTGTGTCTCGTACATCCTGGAGAAAAAAATTTACAAAATAAAGACCAAAGAATATAAAATTACTTTGCCTATTGTTATTTCATCAAAAGGGAGAAAGGTTATGCTCATCGATTATTAGTGAAATGCACATTCAAAGGGCACCGCTGAAGTTCTCGGGCTCATTGAATCTGTTCTATTCCACCGTATTTTAACCATACACCCTCATTCGTATAACCAAAACAGTAATGACGACTTATTCACTCTGACAGTCCATTGACTCTCCCATTGCAATGTCAGCATTGATGTCATACCAAACCTAATTGTATGTCAAGCCTTTCCCACATTTCACATAAACAGACTGGAGAAAACACATGAATGTCTGTACGTACAATTTAACATGTTAATCTAGTACAAATAATTATATAAAAGAATAACACATTCAAAAATAATGCACTTAATCATGCCCCCTGACCCGTATGTAAATTGATTGATTTGACAAACAGCAGGATGATACGCAACCAAATATGTGTACATATACCAGAATTAAAATATAATGAATAGAATAAAAAGATAAAAGGCTAGATAAATACAAATAAAATTAAAAAATAAAACAACCAATACACTGACTTTTAAAGCCATTTTTCACAACAATTTATTCATCTGCCACGGCAGAATAATGTGTTTTATTCCAAACTATCTTCATCTGAGGGGTTTTCTCAATTTCATTAATTAATCAGAATGATATGTAAATATTTCAGTTAAAAATGAAATTAAGAATACTAATAAACAGCTAGACCATTTATGATAATTACGAATTAAGATACTTGTGACTAAAAGCACCTATAGTACAATGAACTTAAGTCTGATGTTCAGCGTTAAAGTTAGAAAGTTCTCTCACCTGATAATGACACACTGGTTCTCACGATCAATCATCATGTTTCTATACATGTTATCGGCTAGAGCGTAGATATGAGGAGGGTTCTCATACTGAGCCTGAGAGAGAGGGAGAAATGGAGGGAAGCAGATTCATTTCATAATTAACATTACAGTTCATGTTTAGCATTGCATGAGCTCACATTTATAAATAAGCTACTGTGTAGCATATAAGTAAGAACACATTCAAACATCTTATTGACAGGAACTAGAAGCTTGATGAGGAGCCTAGAGCTCTGGCCAAGAGTGGTTAAGAAGATAGACCGGTACATGCTGTTCTGTGGCGGTATAGCCAGGTGGCTTTAATGGGTAAGGTAGGTCTGCGCAGCTATTTTTCTGACTAAGAATGCAGCTGTTAAAAGCATTTGTACCACGTCTACACACTTTAAAAACCTCCTTCTATTAAAATCATTACTAGAGCAATTACTGTTTACAGAAACCTCAAGGTATCGAACTACATAAAGAACTTTATGAGGACAGTTTTGATACAGATCACTGAGTTTAGAAAAATGAGCCTAATTAGTGTGTGTAGTGAATCAAAGTTACATAATACTCTAAAACTAAACCTATGGAACTAAATGTGTTCAGAAAACCATGAAAAAATACTTACCGCGCCTTGGTACATCTCTATTTCTTTCTCCCCAAAGTAAGGCATTTGTTTGAAAGGGTTCACTGAGATGAGTACAGGACCGATGTATGTCTGCAGGTGAAGGTCAAGGCTCAAAAGACTGCTGAAAGGTGGCAAGTAAAGTAATGTTCACCCCAAAATTAAAATTCTGTAACTTTTTACTCTCCCTCATGTCACTCTTAACCTGTATGATCTATAAGGTCTTTCTCCTGTGAAACACAAGAGATGCTATTTTGAAAATGCTAAGTCAATTGGGTCCAAAGCTGTTTGTATGGACAAAACAGTTGAAAATGTTCATCAAAATATCTTCTTTTGTATTCTGCAGAAGAATGACTTTCTGTCATAAAGTTTTGAAGTGATTCATATGATGCGATTTCAAGTTTTCCTTTTTCTTTGGAGTGTTACAAGCTGTTCGGGAATAGATAAGATCCCTAAAGTTGCAAAGACTAAAGTCTCAAACCCAAAGAGATATTCTTTATAAAAGTTAAGACTAGTCCACACCCTCCTAAAACGCCTCGTTTAAACACGCCCCCACATGTCTTCGTCACTGTGTGGGAAGATTTGCATAACACCGCACAAATGTTCACGCAAAGAAAGAAGGCATAACTTTGATTCTCGCTGTAGTATTTTTGCCACCGCCGCCATGTTGTGGAGACGCTGTATGTTTCATTGTGAAAGTGAATCTACTTTGTTTGGTCTTCCAAAGGACACAACTAGAAATCAGTGGTTAAGTTGTATTTACAACACTGTTCCAGAACAGTTCAAACCAAATATTCAGATGTGTGCAGCGCATTTTACGGAGGACGATGACTGTTTCCTGGGAGACTAGCCTACAATGCCGGTGTTCCGGTGAATTGAGTTCCCCTGTTTCCCCTTCGGCACGCATGCTGACCACAGTCTATGATGCTGACAAATAATGCTGACTCACAGTCTGTAAGTACATTTTCATATTTAAAGGATTTGCCACAGATGATTCAAACGCGAGTTTTGAGCAGTGTAGAGCAGTGCTAGTTGTTTGTCATTTCTCCGATCACAAATGCAGACATGGTTTTATGTTTATGCGGCGTGATGCAACGCAACGCGTAAAAAGACAGTATAAGTAATTATAATCAGTAATTATGTCCCCACTGGATGCAACAAATGCCTTGTTTATAATGGGTTTTAATGGTTTTGTCTCGTCGCACTGGGACATGGCATCACAGTGTAAGGATAAAAGAAACTAGAATACTTTGATCTCCTGAGAGGTATGGTAAGGGGCGTAACATTTACATCACACGCTTGAGGAATTTGGCCAATCACAACGCACTGGATAGCTAGTCAATTAGAGCACACCTCGCTTTTCAGAACGATGAGCTTTGTAAAAATCGACGCGTTTCAGAAAGGCGGGGGATAGAAGAGAAACACTAATGTACAGTATGTGGAAAATAATGTGTTTTTTGAACCTTAAACCGCATAAACGCATTTCATTACACCAAATACACAAAATAATGTTCTTTTTTAGCAACGTCATATGACCCCTTTAACGATGACAGAACGTTAATTTGTGGGTGAACTGTCCCTTTAACTATTTCTTTACAAAATGTGTCTTTCTCTGAGAATCAATTAGATGGAAAACTCTCTTTCTGAAAACTATTAGGGGTTTAGCATTCACAATAGAGGAAAACCTCATGGACCATTTTACTCATTGTGGTTGTTAATACTCAGAGGACATTCATAAAACTTTGGCTGGACTGGCAGATGAAAAATGGCCCGAGTGTGAATAATGGACTGGTGACATCAGTAAAGAGTTATATGTGGCAGCAGTGAAGATTTTGGTTATTGGGTCAGAGCCTTATTAAGACGCTGTTGCTCTTCTCTGAATGCAGTGAGAAGGCAATAGCCGGCAGTGAGTGAGTTGAGCTATTTGGCCGCCTGGCCGTAAGTTGCTCACTGCAAATAAAGGAAGTATTGAGCCTGGCGCGCCATGACCTCAGTTCCATATGCTGCTGACTGGAACACTTTGGTGTTGTTTCTATTTTCTGACCACAATCACAGGACTGATTCTGGACCAAAATGACCAGAGTCTGCTAAGACTCCATAAACCTAATATGGCAGAAAATAGAAATACACTGGTAGTGAGGTTTTCATCAAGAAATGGTACGTTTTATCAAGAGGGTCATTTTTAGTGCCAGTAATGTGTGACGAATTAGACATGAACCCTGTCAAGAACATTGGGTTCATAATGAAGAAAGATAAACCAGCATTCTTCGTCCGCCTTCAACAACCTGTTGTTACAAAGCTCTCAGAATCACACATACGGCCTTGATCAAACATAGTCCCTGCTACTGTGGGAAAATAGGACAACATGGATTTGGAAGTTGTACCATAGAGTTCAAGAACAACTTTCGTCATTGTTAAATGTTAGTGTTTAGTGAAGCTTTGGTCAAAATAAACCCAATCAAGATCTCATCTATACTCAAGTGTCCAACAACAGTTTTCTAGTGAGCCACAGAAAAAACATCCATCTGCAAAAACTCAGATAGAAGACATCTGTATTTAGGGTCAGTTTTATATCAGATTGAGATATTACCAACTTAGTAAGACTAAGGATTTATGATTTATTTACAGCTGGACAAGGATACAAAAATAAAGTCATCCATATATCTCTTCTTGAGGTTTTCCACAATGGCGTCCTCATTGATCTTGGAGAGCAACACCATATCATCCACACCACTCTGCTTGACATTGTGGCTTTGCCAGTGGTACCGGTAGTGTCCCCGGCTCCCCTGTGAAAGCAAACACAAACAAAAAACTCTCGTTAGACTGTATACACACCCAAAGATTTTATGTAGCAGGCTAACTGGCTGAAACTGTATTAGCATATCCAAAGACAAATAGACTCTATAACTACATTTCTCTTTGAAGATTGCATTATATATTTTAAAGCTGAAATACTTTCGCTCAAATTTTACATACAGAGACAACTGTAAGTAAGCCATTAATAGGCTGACTTCCTCAAAGAGTGTAAATATTGCAGCTCTGTTGACCTTTCGAAACATTGCTCTGTTTGTATGAGCAGCTTTTTTCTCAATGAATGGTACTGTAAGAGTTTTGGGTGGTATTGAACCACAGTATACTAGTTGTAGCAAGCCAAGTGTACCCAAGTAACAGCACTATTTTACTTCACTACATTATCGTCACTAAAATTCTTCCAAAAAGTAAGATGATTACCCTGCTGGGGAAAAAAATCACTTAAACCAGCCTAAGATTGTTTGTTAGTCTTAGCTGGTTTAAGATTGCCTTTCAGCCTGGCCAAACTGGACTGGACAGCCACTTAAAATTGGCTTATAAACACTCTAAAACCAGGTAAAATAAATAAATTATAAAAGTAAAATAAAATTTATAAAAATTATAAAAGCAAAAAAAAAATCAATTATTAAAACTTACATTACTTAAACTAAAATTAAAATGAAAACTGAAGAAAAAAAGTTCAAAACGTTAATAGCCTAAATATCACAGTAGTATGTAAATAACACTGAAATAACTCTGCAACTAAGACCATTGAACCAGCTTAGGCTAGCTTAAATGGTTATTAATCAGCGGGGTAGGGCTGTGCAAAAAAATCAAATGTGATTTTCATGCGCATCTCGTCAGTAAAGCCGCTTCTGTGATTAGTAGTAAATCTCCAGCACGTGCTTTCAGATGGAGCGGCATTTACTACACAGAGCCGTAATTCACTGACAAGCTATACAAAATCGCGTTCAAAACCGGCAATGAATCGCCACAGCTGGGTATGAATTAATTTCTCCTTGATATTGTGATTCTTAATATATTGCACTATTAGCCATATGTAAGTTATCGTGAAAGCCCTGTTGGGTCAAACTACCTGTTTGGTTGTACAGTGGCAGATGGGGGGCTAAGAAGTCAATGAGAGACCTGTTCAGAAACAACATTTTGCAACTGCTTTTAATGCTACCAAGGACAGACATTACACCTTCATTCTGAATCTCATTCAGTCATGAACGCTGATAAACAAAGTACATTGCTGACAACAGTTAATGTGAGCAAACAGTCCAGTCAGCAAAATGACCATGTCCAATTCACCGCCTGCGGCACATTTAACACAGCTTGTTCTTTTTCACCGCAGCAGATGTTGATTTAGTTTTTCTTAACGGATGAAAGTGCATGGTCAGGAGTCTCCCTAAAGCTCCCTGAGCACTACAAACACTTCTTTTGATCTTCGCCTGATGTTCTCACCATTCCTCCTCTTCTCCCTCGTCCCCTTCTTTTACCTCTCTTCCCATTGTGCTTCCACTCTGGTAATGTTTTTGCACAGGTGTGTCTCCGGAGAGCTTGGGTCATTCATCATGGGATGTAAGTCAATGGCTTCTGGCTACTGTTCTGAGGTCACAATGGCCCGTGAGGAACCAGACCCTTACTCAGAATGACACAAAGCCTCGAGTGCATTTGACAGGACATCAAAAGAGAAGGACTCAAGAAAAGAGGGCAGATACAGAAAGAGAGCCAGACAGACACAGACAGTGAGTGTACTGCTTGGAGAGCACATGATCCAAACGCACTGCTGTTTTAAACATTTTCCTCTGTAATGTTAAATCATTAGTGCATTAGTCTGATTCGAAGGCCACATTTGTCTATATTATTTTCTTACAGCAATTTTCCCAAGCTAAGGAATGTCATGACAATGAAAGCAGGAAAAAAGAAGCACACCAAGTATGGAAGATTTTTTCCCTCCCTTGAAGGACTAATTAACTTGCCATTGTAAACAAGCACAGTACAAGTTTGAGGTAAATTACAGGAAAATAAAGAAACACTATAAATGCTCAACACCATGACAACAATAGGAAACCTCACTTGAACATTATTAGTAGTGGAGCATGCTCAAAAACAATTAAGGAGGAAGGCAGCGTTTTAAACAAAACAGTAAACACTCCTTTCAGACCTTTACAGACTGTTTTGTTTAGTTTATTCTTGCATTATATTACAGCGAGAGCATTCATTGTCCTGCACCTGTTTTTCTAATTCTATTGAACCCTTTCACAATGTTTGAATTCACATCACTGTCACACCATGGGACACATAAACACCTGGAAACAAGATGAACGTCTTCATTCCCAGCACATGTTCCTCATAAACTAAGAGCCAAAGCAGAGCTTCATAAAGAGCTGCAAAAACAGAATGCGAACACACAATTACTTAAATGAGACTTAAATAATAAAAATAAGAAGACAAAGACAAAGAAGAAGAACGACATTTAACAGTTTGAAGTGCTCACTTGTATCATTTAATTTGATAACTACATTCCTACATCTGTTGTTGCTCCCTTATGTGTTAAACTTTTTAAATTAGTAAACAATTCATTACATTGTAAAAAGAAATGCTTTTTCAAAGTTGTATTTAAAACATAGTTTACTGGAGTACGTTTTTTTCAAGAAAGTACTATTTCAGTCTTTCTACTCCAAAATTTCATGTTTAATTCAATGTGTTACTTGCTGTTTCTTAGTTATTATTTGTGAAATTTACTAGCAATTTCTGAGTGAAAATTCGCAGAAAGTTAATCAAAAACACAATCGCAATGGACTAGAGCACAACATTGTAATTTCACTCTCTTCTTTCTGGAGAAGTCTTTACAAAATGCACAAGGACCACACCTACTGTCCAGGACTCAAAGTTATAGACCACACAAAGTCAAGCAAGGAAGAAAACAGCATCTCTGCTTTTAAAGAGCTATAGTTGGTCCCACTAGGCTTATTTAGGGATGAAAGTGTTCCATTTTGTAAAGGAACACCGGAAACAAGGGAGGCTTAAGTTCACTACACTTGTGCTGTGGTTCACCCAGGAACAGCAGGCATTATTTACACCATGACAAAAATTATACCCATCTGCATCATGCAAGGCCAAAATCCCAAACTCCCTGGGAAGACACCAATCAGGATTTAAAATAACCCGGCAATAAAATATCTCAACCCTAACAACTTTACATTAATGCTTACTATTAGAAACAGCGGGAATATGACAGCCTTGTAAAGGCACGAAACCTCTATATCTGTGTTAAGGGGTTTATTTAGCCATAAACACCTGACTGATTGATTTTACAGCTTAGTATGCAACTACTGACCAAAAATATGAAAAGAACACTGCAACAGCAATACAGTAATATTCAGACCAAAGTTATCTGATATCTGCGATGCAAGATGGCGCTAATTGGGTTTGTATGAAAGCATGAGCATATGGTAAACGTGGGGCATGACAATGTCTCACAAGTCCACCAGGGAAGTTTGTATTTACCAGTTTGTACAAATTGTAATTACGATGTCAGGTCCATTCAAATAATTTTGTTTGTAGCAAGTTGGCAATGTCCCTTTACTACAAAAATACAACTTCTACACAAAGATGAATTAAAAATGTGTATCTGGTGTGTTTCTGCTTCATGTATTTATTCAATTTATGAGGGTGCTGCAAAAAATAAATCATTATATATTATATCGTAATTGTACAATAGTATAATATTTTGTACATGCAAGTTAGCAAGATTTTTTTTAAAAGTCATACATTTCAACAACTCAGGAATACGGTCTTACTGTCATAAGAATGCACCATGACATACTGCATTGCCATGGATGATGCAGAAACATCTGATGCTAGATGGTGCATGATAAATTAAGACATTCGTCGTATTAATTGACTAAGGAGCAGCTGTGTGGTCAGTGTAATGTGATTCTCCACACTGGTGAATGGCACATCTGGAGAGTATAGTATACTACTAATGAGGGAGGCTACAATAGGCGCGTTTCCATTACCCTTCAAATTGCGCAAATTGAAATTGTGAATTGAAAATACGACTAATGGAAACATGTTAATTTCACAAAAACGCCCATATATCGCAAAAAAGTTTTTACGCTCACATGAGGTGGTTTTTCAGGTAATGCGAAAAAGGAATAATTCGCAAAACTGCAATGGAAACGGCTTTTTCGCATTTACAGGTCACATGGCATATGTAAAAAGTCATATGATCATTCTTCACTGTACTATAACCTCCAAGAAACACATAATATGTAGCCACTCTCCAGTATAAGGGGCTTTCCCTACCATTAATGCTTTGACAATTTACACTGCACACGTCTGCGGTCTATTTCAACTACGTATTTTAAATACATGAAATACTGCCCATCCCTGGCTACAATAACACCATTCATCCCACTGGGTCTGGCTGGCATTTGTTTGTTTGTTTGTTTATTTTGACAAAAAAAGCGTGAACACAAATGAAGATCTGCCCTTTATTTTACCCACTTATTACATGTGTGGCACTTTTAAAAAATGTACAACTTCACAAAAAAAAACATCACGGAAAGAAGAAATGCTTCATTCATAAAAAGGAGGGTGAAAAAATCCATTGTTCTCTTTGCTAAATCCTCACCAGAAAATACTGTAACAGATCATTTCCCCACTGTAATCCAACAGCAGTTGAAAAATGTCAGCAGCACCAGTCTTAGATCCATGCTTACATGGCAGGCCGTTCCTTCATGCAAATACCATTGCCTTATATGGAGAGTGTGGAGCGGAGCGCAGACTCAGGCACAGGAAATGGCGGGGTTTGATTCAATAAGGCGGCAAATCTTTTACCTCCTCAAACGATCCTTTCCTGTATTATTTGGTATGCATCTCCACTGAAAATATAATCAATTAATGAATACAATCACAAGGCAGTTAAAGCTACAAGACACAGTCTGGTTCTCAGTTTAATGCATTTAGCATATGGCCCACAGTA